CAACTTTATAAAGTATTTCATATTTTCCGGTCTTATATCATCTTCATGTATGCTAATTTAAATATGCGTTTTGTATAGAAGGATTTAGAAAATCCACTTGATGAAAGAAGATATTGTAAATATATTCTAGAAATTTGTATATATTTTTGTATGATTCTAGTAATTAGATAATTAGGTTAATTCATTCTCTATATAAGTTTCTCTACCATGTACATTCATTCTCATGAAAGCGATACACAATTCTTTCAGTTTCTATCTCTCGTCATCACTCTATTAATACATACATTCTTTCCAAACTCATTTTTTTTCTCTCTGTTATTTTTCTCAAGATCATTCTTCTTCTTCTCTGTTATTTGTGACTAAGTTGCATAGTATTATGATATGAATGATCTGATTATTCTTAGCCTATTAAGAAAGCTCTAATGTGGAGTATTTTTTTTTTGTAGTATGGCAGATATTGTAGATATATTCTATAAATTTGTATATATGTTTATCTGATTCTAGTAATTAGATATTTATGTTAATTCATTTTCTATATAAATTTCTTTATTTCATGTACATTCATTCTCATAAGAGCAATACATAATTCTTCCAATCTCTATATCTTATAATCTATCAGACTATCACTTTGTATTACATGTTAACTATTTAATAAAGTTCAAATGTTAGAAAAAAATTGGCTTTTTTAGTTTAGAAATATTAAACTAAATCCAGACTTAATCCCAAAATCATCGAATCGAAATACATGATTTGGTTTCAATTTTATAAAACAAATTACTCTGAAAAATAAAATAAAAAGCCAAACCGAACCCATTAAATATCCACAAGTCAAACACAATTTAGTGATTCAAAATCCCAATTGCATCTGGCATGTGAGTGACTTTGTTATCAACAATCACCAACTTCTCCTTCAAACCAATTAAATGCTCTTTCTAAATATTTAATTCCTTAACTATATAAATCCCTTTACATAGATCTAAAACCTTTTCTCTATATATAAATAAACAATTCTCTTCTCTTCATGAACCACTGAATCCAAAAAAGATGACTACAAAACTCAATGTCCTCTTCACGGTTTTGCTTCTAACACTTACACTAGCCCACTCACGCCTGACCCGACCCGAATCCATCTTGGATCAGCTCAAGAAAAACTCCAAAGGTAATAATAATAACAAAAATGACAAGGAGCATGGTGGATCATCAGGTGGATACTTT